AACATGTGCTGATGGGTAGCAATATAAATATAGCAATAAATAGTAATAACTTTTTTAAAAAAATAGCTTGTAGCACTGTCTGGTGAATAGTAAGAAAGGCTTGGAAGTAGGGAATAGAAGTTACAGTGGTGCCTCGCAAGACGAAAATAATCCGTTCCGCGAGTCTCTTCGTCTAGCGGTTTTTTCGTCTTGCGAAGCAACCCTATTAGCGGCTTAGTGCTATTAGCGGTTTAGCGGCTATTAAAGGCTTAGCAGCTAAAAGGCTATTAGTGGCTTAGCGGCTATTAGCGGCTTAGCGGCTATTAGCGGCTTAGCGGCTATTAGCGGCTTAGCAGCTAAAAGGCTATTAGCGGCTTAGAAAAGGGGGGGGGAGCGAAAAAAATCGCAAGACTCGCAAGACGTTTCCGTCTTGCGAAGCAAGCCCATAGGGAAAATCGTCCTGTGAAGCACGTTGAAAAACGGAAAACCCTTTCGTCTAGCGGGTTTTTTGTCTTGCGAGGCATTCGTCTTGCGGGGCACACTGTATAATAATACTAAGTATTTAAGTACTATTAGCACTCAGTACTTTAAGTGTTCAAAGCACTTATCTTACGTTATCTCAGTAGATCAATATTAACATATTCTGTGGAAGAGGCAAACTTTGAACCCAAGATTTTGGGGTTGACAGCTTAGTCTCCAAAGGCAGCTCAACACTCTTTCTGACAGACATGATTGCTAGGTGCATGTTATTATTTCCTTCAATAATCATGGAAAGCCTGCATGACATATACATGCCTTAAAAAGACCTGTGCAGGGAATGCTGCGAACCCTAATTGGGACAATGCTGATGACTCTCAGCCTGCTCAACTCACAAGTTCAGAGTCAGCCTTGTAAGCAAAGCTATTTCTCAATTGGATTACCCCACTTTTTGGAATAGGGCCAGGAGAGACAACCGCCATGAGATGCCATGACAGACCAGTGATTCACTGGTTTCCTCTGAATTGCAGCAGCTTTCTAGGATCTCAGAAAGAAGTCTCTTTGCTAGCCTGTCTACAGGAGATGTGACCACTAGGGAGCATGGATAGAGACTGTAGCTCATTAATCCAGGGCATGCTATGTAGGCAGAAAGTCCCAGTTTCAATACTCCACATTACCTTTAAAAGAGGGATCAAATAGCAGCTGACAGGAAAGATCTTTGCCAAAGACCTGGGAAACTGCTGAGCTAGAAGAACAAAAGTCTGACCTTGTGTAAGAAAGCTTCCTATGTTCCCTAAATCCACCTGCAACTCCTTCTGCCCCCTCTCCTGGGTGAACAGCTTTCTTAAATAAAGATGTAAGGGGAGACCAAATCCAAACGTGGAATGTGAATTGTGAAGCCTCTGGTATGAATTTTGCCTCTGCCAAGAACTCACCAGGTGACCTTAGGCAAGCCACTCTTATCTCTGTCTCAGTTCCCCCTCTGCTGTAGCAGAGGTATAATAACGATGACTTACCTTGCAGTGTTGGTATAAGGATGATAGTACATGTGAACTTCAAGCATGTAAAGTGTTTTTAAAACACTGGCAAGGACTATACAAATGCTAAGTATCATCATATTTTGGTTACGGTGATCTAATAAACTCAGTGCCCGGTCTCAGCGTGGACAAAAAGGTCACATACAATGTTTGCCATTCGGCAAAGAAAGTGGTGATAGTGGGAGTGGAAGCAGAGATCATGCCCCCTCAAGATAGTCCAGACACACCAGTCTTCTTTCCTTCAGAAAGGGACTCCAACCAAGCAATTCCCCTACGAGGAAATGCTACATTTGGGGTATGATAGAGGTATATAAGATTACACATGGTGCAGAGGAAGTGGATAGGGAGACTGATTGATTGGTTGATTTCTCTCTGTCTCTCATAATAGCAGAATCTGAGGCCACTCAGTGAATGTTGGAATATTCAGGACAATCAAAAATTATTTTTTTTCATAAAAATTATATACTGCTTGATTGCAGAAAAAACCTCAAAGCAGCTTGTACAAGAAAAACAAGACAATAAAATTTTCACTAAAGACAACCATATTTTAAAACACCGAGGAAGTTAAAACTACAATAGAATAGACCAAAACAAATTAAAACTCCTACAAACTTTCTAAACATATGCGTAAAGGTAAAGGTACCCCTGACTGTTAGGTCTAGTCGTGGACGACACTGGGGTTGTGCGCTCATCTCGCTCTATAGGCTGAGGGAGCCGGCGTTTGTCCGCAGACAGCTTCTGGGTCATGTGGCCAGCATGACTAAGCTGCTTGTGGCGAACCAGAGCAGTGCACGGAAACGCTGTTTACCTTCCCGCTGAAGCGGTACCTATTTATCTACTTGCACTTTTGGGCGTGCTTTCGAACTGCTAGGTTGGCAGGAGCAGGGACTGAACAACGGTAGCTCACCCTATCATGGGGATTCGAACCGCCGACCTTCTGATCGGCAAATCCAAGAGGCTCAGTGGTTTAAACCACAGCGCCACCTGCGTCCCAAACATCTGAGTAGGCTTGCCTAAATAAGAAACATCTTCAGCAGGCACCGAAAATAATATAATGAAGACCCCTGCCTGATATCAAAAGGCAGGGAGTTCAAAGATGTTGGTGCCGCCACACTAAATGACAGAGATCTTACAGATGCAGTGCGGGTATTATGTGGCACCTGTAAAAGTGCCAATTCCGCTGATAGAAGTGGTTGAGTGGGCACATATGGGGTGAGGAGATCTCGTAGTTAGCTAAACGGATCCCAAGATGTTAAAGGCTTTATAGTACCTTTCCCACAAAGGGAACATTGCTGAACTATAGCATTTGTTCCTACAAGATATAGCCAGTCCTACTTTTCTAGAAAATAGAGATGCTGGAACTCACCACAAATGCCTCCCTTGTTCTCTTACAACAGCAATGGCGCCCACCTGAGAGGTGCCAGAACTTAGTTCTGGTAAGTTCCAGCTGGGGAAAAAAAAAGACCTGTAATTAGCAATGACTGAGGACTGCCAAAGGGGATTGCCACAACAGCTAAACACTGAATATCTGTTGCTGGGAATTGGTGAGTGGGACAGAGGGCCACTGTTTCTCACAGGTGTTGGGGTGGGGAGGGGATGAAGTAGAGGGATCCTTTTTCCACATGTGGTGGTCCTGTAATCAGGGAAATCTGGTAAGCAATTTACAATGAATTAAAAAAGATATTCAAAAAAAACCTTCCCCCAAAAGCTGGAGGTATTCCTTTTGGGAATGGTAACAACTGAAGTCCCTAAAAAACAAAATAATTTATTATTATATGCCAGCACTGTGGCTAGAATCTTATTAGCACAAAGGTGGAGAACAAGTATGGTACCCACTAAGGAAGAGCGGCAGTTTAAAATGCTTGAATATGCTGAATTGGCAGGTGTAATGAATAGGATAAGAGAAAAGGATGATAAGGAGGATTGGAAAATGTTTATTGAATATTTTAGGATCCGGTATAAACAATTAAATAGCCTAGCAGGTCTTCAGTAAATCCCGCAGAATAGGAGCTAATACATATCAACAGAGGAAGGAATTAGAAGATTATAAATTTAGAATACGTGATTTAGTAGGAAAAATAAAGAAACCAGGAAAAGGGTGGAAAGGAAGTCACCATGTATTCAGCTGTAAGTCCAGATTGGCATGAAAGTTGTACAACGGGGGGGTGGGGTGGAGTGGAGGGAAGGGGATGTGGGATGTGCTGTTTTTCTTTTCTGTCTCTGTATTAAAAATGCAAATAAAACAATTTAAAAAGGAGACAAGGTGAGGCAACTGCCTCAGGCCACAGGATCCACAGGGGGAGCAGATCCAGATGTAGATCTTCCCCCCTTGCTCCTGATGTAGTTCTTCCCTCACCACTTCTCCCCTGGTGAGGAGGGGTGTGTGTGTCGGCATTTTGGGGGGGGGGTCTGCCTCAGGCAGGGCCGGGTTTAGGTTTGATGAGGCCCTAGGTTGCATTTTAATATTTTAATGTTTCAATATTTTAATGTTGCATTTAATGTTGTATTTTAATCTTGTTTTTAAGTTGTATTCATTCAACTTGTTTTTATTATTGCTTGTTAGCCGCCCTGAGCCCGGCCTTGGGCTGGGGAGGGTGGGGTATAAATAAAATTATTATTATTATTATTATTATTATTATTATTATGTTTGATGGGGGCTTTTATAAGTCCAGCTGTCGGACCTAATAGGTATCTAAAGCCATTTGCACATAACAAATAGGAGCCCACACAACCACAGCTGTCAACTCTTCCCTTTTCTTGCGAGGAACCCTATTCGGAATAAGGGAATTTCCCTTAAAAAAAGGAAAACGTTGACAGCTATGTACACAACACAAATCACTATTGCTGTATTTTATTTTATTAATCTTATATTTTGGAAATGTACATCCAGGGTTTTTTTTTCTCTTTAATTTTTTTTGGGGGGCCCCCAAGAGAGTGGGGCCCTGAGCTATGCCTTGGGCCGGCCCTGTCTTTTTTGGGGGGAGGGAACTACATGAGAGGAGAATAATGGGTCAGTTGGGCGACGGGTCGGACCCCCACGGTCTTCTCCCCCCCCCCAAGACCTCCCACTCAAAGGGTGGGCTGCAGGGGAGCCTCTCCACCGACTACTCGCCTCCCCCCCCCCAGCTCCTCACCTGCCTCAGGAGACAGCCGCTTCTCTCAGCGCCTCTGGAAGAAGCCGCGATTCCCCTTTGCATCAGCCAAGTGCGTCGCTCATCGCCGTCCGGGCGGGAAACACGCACCTGAGCCCGGAACCACCGGTCAAGAGGACCGAGAGAGGACAGCTAGGCCCATGCCCGGAACTGCGGAAGGGAGGAGGTGAGGTCTTCGGTGAGAGCCGCGGCGCAAGCCGAAGGGGGCGAGAAAACAAACAAAAACACAGAACGAAGGACGTCGGTGAAGGGGGTACCGGAGGGGGCCCGGACCGTTCGACGCCGGGTCGAGTTTCCTGGGGGGAACCGTTTCAGCAGGAGGCACCTGCCCACGCTGCGAAGCCGAGCGGCAAGCAACGCAGAGGGAGGCTGCTTGAGGGCAGTGTTGCCGTGAAAGGGGTCCCCCGTGCAAGGAAACAGGTCCGGGTCCCTTCTTGGCAGACGTTGGCTGCAGGCAGTACAGGCGGAGCTGCTTCGCGTGGCACTCGGGCCGCTTTGAAGCGGGGGAAAGGAGGTTTTTTTATGCAAAGTACGTGCTCAAAGCGCCCCTGTTTCACAACTCTTGTTACTGTAGCTAAGCTTAATATAGTTGTAGAAAGCCTTGCTATAGGACTACCTTGTAATACAGGCGCACAGTCCCCTCCCCCAAAGTGTATGTATGTTTGTTTGTGTTTTGGGGGGTCTGCAGTCAAACACAGGTTTTGATATAGATCTAACAATTCTGCTAGTTTTATACATTCCGGGGTGGGGTAGGGGAAAGGTATTTGCATGCCACACTCAGGTTTTCCTTCTTCATGGTGGTGGCATATGGATAACAGAATTATCTACAGTCGCTTAGGTAACAGGAAAACGTGCGCTTTGAAAGCTAAACTTTCCATAACATTTTAGAGAATGTACCTGTTCCGCAGAAGTGGTTTTTTGACCCTTGGATGCTGCTGTTTTGCAGTTGTTTTTTTAAAGTGCCCCTGGCTCCAACAGATACATATTTCTTGTCATAATTCAGTTTCATTTAGTGTTTATGTATGGAATTGTTAAGAGCTGCCCTTGAAAGGTTCAGCTGTAAAAAATAATAACCTGCTGCAGCAGGGTGCTGGGCTAATTTTAGCAGCACCACATTCTCCAGTCACTTATCTGTTCATAATTGATACATTATTAATGATAAAAAACAAATGATCACACATAGTCTTGAGTCCACTGCCAATTCATTGAGCAAAGAGTCAATTAAATGCATCTGTTTTATTTATTTTTTTATTTATCCATCTGTTTTATTATTTTCCAGTGATGGTTGGTCCTTACACTTGCTTTTTCAGAAAACCAAATATGATACAGGTTTGCTGCTGAGACAAGCCATTCGAACACTAAAGCTAGCTGGCTCTCTGATTTAGTACTTTCTCATTAAATGTTTGCAGTTTTTTGAGTAAAAATATTCAAATTACTGGAATTGTCTTGGGATGGCCATGGTATACCAGGTTATTTTCAGGCTGTTAATGTAAACTGGAATGTGTTAACTTAATTAAATATTTAATTATGAACATAGTAATAGTTACTCTGTGGAGGGTCACAAACCACCCTGGTGTAATGTTTGTAAGTATGAAAGTATGCTATGTTTCTTTGACTGAAAAATGAGTTCTTTAAATTTCCTTAAATTTGTAGATTTTCATCGCAGAAGCTTTTCACTGTTTATGAAGATCTAAAGGGAAAAATTAGGGAATTCTGTTGCAGCCGACTTGATGAAAGCCTCACTTGTTGCTTACGAAGATTCAGACTCTGAGACAGAGGATGGGGAATCTGAAGATGCCACTGCCAGTGGAATAAATGTTACAAATTTTGCTATGACTGCTGCTCAGCCTTGTGATGGGACAGTCAAAATTCCTGATAGCACATTCCAACCTGTGGAATACATTGGCAGTTCCAGGAGTAACATGTTTCATGAAGATACTCTTCTCCGGCACCTAAAACCTAATAAAAACTATATGGCAACCACACTTCTTAAGAAAATACAGCCTGATACACCTAGACTATTTTCTGCAAATGACAGTTGCTCTCAGAAGAGGCCCTGTGATTACAGCGAAGATACTATACAAGGGCTGAGACCATATATCCCTAAAAGACTGCGGCAGGAAAAAAATCCACTTCTTTGTGAAGCTGAAGACAGTGGCCAGAGCACAAGTTGTGTAGCCAAACCTGATACAGCAGGAGAACAGATATCCTTTAATACTTCCCAATATATTATGCCATACATAGGTTCTAAGTATGGGATAACTGAAATTCCTAGGAACCTGGTATTTCAGATGTCTGATCACAGCGGTCCAGTTAATGTGGTCCAGTGGTGCCCTGTGCAGAAGTGGAGCCACATGTTGCTCTCTGCATCTATGGATAAAACTGTCAAGGTAATATGTTGCAGAGTGAATGTGTGTCTTTTTGATGGAAAATTAGCATTTATTCCCCATAGGAAAAGAGGTGGGAATCTAATCAATTTCAAAAGTCTCTAGTGTGCCCCTGTGAGCCTTTTTTCTGCGGAACTGGCAAATTCATGTTGAATTGTGTAGGCACCTGTCTGTTACGCAGTGCAGTCTGCATTTACTCTGACAGAGGTTATGTACTGATGGAAATTATGGACTTCTGTACTGTCTGTGAAATTGGATTTCTGCAAGTTGAGGGGGTGGGAAAAAGTGCAGACTCTGCTGAACTCTGACACTAGTTCTAGTAAGTCAGAGAGAAACTGTAGATGGAGCTGGTGCATTGTTCCTTTAAAAAACTATAGAGGATTCCTCCCCCCCCCCTTCTTAGTTGTGGGGAAATGGGAGCAGCAGAATTCTCAGTGCTCTTGCAGGAGACCAAGGAGATCTATATTTAGATTCAAAGGAATCTAAATATAGCACCTGTGATGCTGCTGATGTCAGCAAGCGCAACATGGCACACTAAAGTCCCTCCTTGCCCTCTGATCTGGCCTCTGGTTGGCTATATGAGGGCGCCTTCAAACACTTATTTCCCCAGGTATGGTAGTGGCTAATTGGCAGGTGGTAATGGTAGACCGGAAGAGGAGCCAGCTTGTGTGTGTAGTAGATAGTGCCCCATTGCTTGCAAAAAATAAAATAAAGAAATCCAAAGCTGTCATTTGCTCTTTGAGACAGGGGGAATCCAGGTGCATGTGTTTCTTACTGCCACCTGCAAGGAAATAGTAGGTTGAAGAGGCAAGGCTTTCCATGTCCCTGTCCTGGTTCTCCCAAGTAAATTGGAGCCACTTGCTGTAATTGCACTGTTTACTGCTAGGAAAGGACTGAGGAATGAAAAAATGAAGGATAACCTCAGCTCTCCCGATAACATTTTTATATGTGCTGCAGGGAAACAAAAGGAGAAATGAAGGAAGTCCTATAAGGAGAAATCAACAGGTGATAATTTTAGGAATTTTCCATTACGGACTTTCCGTTTAATTGATTTTGTGGCTTAAATTACCTTGTCTGGCAACCTGGTGCAAGAGAGGGCATAAGGTGAAATAGCTAAGACTGCAATATATATATTTTAGGCAAGTGGAGTAGAGCCAGTGATGGGATCTTGAGGCATCCCTGGAGTTTAGGTTTATCACTACTGATTAATACAAGAAAAAGTGGGATCAGAGCACAGGCATAGGATTTTACATAAAGAGCCTGCTATATTAGGCCAAAGACCTCTAATCAAACATTCAGTTGTTGTTGTTGTTTAGTCGTTTAGTCGTGTCCGACTCTTTGTGACCCCCTGGACCAGAGCACGCCAGGCACTCCTGTCTTCCACTGCCTCCCGCAGTTTAGTCAAACTCATGCTGGTAGCTTTGAGAATACTATCCAACCATCTCGTCCTCTGTCGTCCCCTTCTCTTTGTGCCCTCCATCTTTCCCAACATCAGGGTCTTTTCCAGGGAGTCTTCTCATCTCATGAGGTGGCCAAAGTATTGGAGCCTCAGCTTCCCGATCTGTCCTTCCAGTGAGCACTCAGGGCTGATTTCCTTAAGAATGGATAGGTTTGATCTTCTTGCAGTCCATGGGACCCTCAAGAGTCTCCTCCAGCACCATAATTCAAAACATTCAGTACTCACAGATAACAACCAGATGCCCACAGGCAGGACATGAGTGCAATATTACACTCCCCACTTACGTCTCCTAGCAGTTGGTATTCATAGACATACTATCTCTGATGCTGCAGGTAATGTACTGTATGGCTATCAAGGCAAGTGGCTGTTGATAACCTGATTCCATGTGTTTGTCTAGTCCTCTTTTTAAGCCTCGCAAGTTGGTGGCCATTACTACATCTTGTGATAGCAAATTCCACAATTTAACTATGCACTGTGTGAAGAAGCTCTTCCTTTTGCCTGGTCTGAATTTGAATTTGTAGGGACATGATTCCCAAGCGCTGTAGCTGTCATGCCTACTGTCAGACAGTAATGTCTGCTCTGATTTGGCAGCAACTCTCCAAGGTCTTAAGTTGACATGTTTTTCGTACGGTTCATCTGTTCCATCCCTGATATCCGAGATCCTTTAATTATAAATGTCCTGGTTTAGTCCTTAACATGCTGCGTGCAGACCATCCTGAGAGGCTATCCTGAATTGCTCCCCATAACTGTTCCCTTTCCACAGATCTCACTGTACAAAGTTGGCTAGAACAGTTGTTGTTCATTGCCCCCACCTGCAGCCAACGTTCCATTTGCTATTTCAGTGGCTTTTTCCATACTCCATATCCCTACACTGTACCCATAGAAGTAAGCATAGCCTGCTATAACAACTCCTCCGTCCACTCTTGTGCTGAAACAACTGAGCCTCAAATCCTAGAACAAAACGAATCATTAAAGAAGAAGAGGTGAGCCCCCCTGTGTCATACAAAATTTCTAATTTGCCTCTGACTTTCTGAGACTTATTCCGAGACTTATAATTTTCCTAAAAACTCCTTTCTTTGAATGGATACAAATGACTACTCATGTCAGCCTTATAATTAAAGTTCTTAGATGTTTCTTAGGTTTGCTGTAATGACGCTTGCTGAAATGACGCTTGCTTTGCATTATAAGGTTTTAGTGGAAAGCTTATGTGGTGTCCTCCTGCTGCTAATTCTAGTTCTTTACATCAGCGGGTGAATAATCTGTGTATTGCTGTCTTTAATGCCTCATTTCTAGCTTTTGCAAAAGTACTTAGGTTCTCACAAAGGGATATATGTACGTACCACTTTTTCTTTGACTGACGTAAGTCTTTGCTTTCTTGCACTGCTTTTCAATTAACTGGAGGAGATAATAGTGAGACTAGAAACCATGAACACCATCTACTTGGTATAAACACAGAAGCATTTATTTTATTGTGTGCCTTGGTCCGGGCTACCTGAAGGACTGTGTTAGTGTGGTGTAGTGGTTAAGAGCAGTGGACTTGTAATCTGGTGAACTGGGTTCGATTCCCTGCTCCTCCACATGCAGCTGCTGGGTGACCTTGGGCCAGTCACACTTCACTGAAGTCTCTCAGCCCCACTCACCTCACAGAGTGTTTGTTGTGGGGGAGGAAGGGAAAGGAGATTGTTAGCCGCTTTGAGACTCCTTCGGGTAGTGATAAAGTGGGATATCAAATCCAAACTCTTCTTCTCTTCTTCTCTTATCTGTAAGCCCGCCTGGGCTTTGAGATCTTCTGGGCAGACCTTTCTCTTGACCCTACCACCTCACAAGCACATTTGGTCAAGATGCAAGATAGGGAATTCTTGTGGCTGCTGCCAGATTGTGGAACTCATTCCAGTGGGAGGCTAAGCTGGCCTCCTCTCTGCTATACTTTTTGTCAGTAGGTAAATTCTTTTTTGTTCCGACTAATTGGCTGTTGTGGCAGGGTCTTCTGAGGGTGGATGTTCTACTTTGTGTGTGTGTAAAAGGTAAAGGTACCCCTGACCATCAGGTCCAGTCGCGGACGACTCTGGGGTTGTGGCGCTCATCTTGCTTTATAGGCCGAGGGAGCTGGCATTTGTCCGCAGTCAGCTTCCGGGTCATGTGGCCAGCATGACTAAGCCGCTTCTGGCGAACCAGAGCAGTGCACGGAAACACCGTTTACCTTCCCGCCAGAGGGGTACCTATTTATCTACTTGTACTTGATGTGCTTTCGAAGTGCTAGGTTGGCAGGAGCAGGGACCGAACAACGGGAGCTCACCCCATCATGGGGATTCGAACCGCCGACCTTCTGATCGGCAAGCCCTAGGCTCTGTGGTTTAGACCACAACGCCACCCGCGTCCCCTCCTTGTGTGTGTATGCGCTTATAAATGTTTAAATTCATTTGCCGAGTTTTTATGCCACTCTTCTGAGTTATTGTCCCCTGAGTTGGCTCCCATCAGTAACAGAGAGAGACAGGTTCTGCAGTCAGGCTTGCAAGCTGAAAAGACAAGGCATGCAGGGGAAGAAGAAGTATGGTTGTCTGTGGCCAATGGTAATCGTATTAAGGTTCTGGAGCCCATTCAGGTGATTTGCACCAGTTGTCCTTTAAAAGCCGGTGGTCTGTTGGCAATGTAGTTTTGATTTGGCAGAGTCGTTCACCGTGGTCTCTACAGTTTCCTCATAGCAGTTAGGCAGCACATCCTTGGCTGTCCAGCCCCTCTCTGAAATCGGAAGTGCAAAGTCAGCGGCAGCAAAGTCATTCTCATTGTATCAAGGGTGTGTCCACTTCTTGCATCACAGCCTGTGAGCTACAAACATCCTAATCACAATTGCCCCAAAGTGCAATTTCTAGACAAGAAAGAGCTTAATAATTTGTCAAACGTACCAGGCAATGATTTGCAGCGACGCTGTTTCATTTCAAAGCTGCACTAAAGTGCTCTCTTGAACTGGTCCTCAGCCTCCTCTTTTAAAATGCAGATTGGTAAGTTCAGATGAATAGAACATTCATGTTATTTTAGTGTGTTCCAAGGAGAGGCCGGCACTCACAATTAATCTCCTGCTGAGGAGGCAGAGAATGGGGATTATTGGCTAAAACGAATAAGCTCAAGTGGCAACCAGTGTTTATGGTATTGTAGAGTTTTAAAAATCAGTAGAGCTCTGAGTCCTATTGTATGCTAAACAGTCCTTGAGAGCTATTTCATTGTTTGGAGGAATAATCAGACGTATTTTTCTTTTTAGCTGTTAGATCCTGCCCTCTTTGGAGTTCTTTTCAGGCCAGTAGAGGGCACAGTTAGATTAAAGATGAACACTGCAAGGGTGGGATACCAGCTGCAGTTAACTTCTCTGTTTGGTCATTCATTGCAGAAAGGATGCTTTGCAATACAGATAGTAGCAAACAGCTTAGGGCAGAGTTTATAATTACCTCTAACCTTTTCTGGGGGTGGAGATGGTGCTCCCAATGTTAAACTTGCTCCCGATATTAAACTGTGCTTCATTTTACTTATTTATACTTAGAAAAGCATTTAT